AACTCTTAGCTTAGTAAAGTACAACTTCTCGAAGTCCTTGACTCTGCAAGTGACTCAAACATTAAGGAAAAACGTAGAATTAAACTTTCAGCGTTACTCAGAGACTGTCAACGCAGAACTCAACACTTAGCAACACAGAGCCTTTGCCTCTGCAAGACTCGACACTTATGGTTGATTTTGAGAATCATACCCCGGAATTTGCTTCTGCAAGACTGACTTTTATGTTTTTAGTATATTGTTATATGGGACTTCTTCCCTAAGACACTTCAAAAGCCAAAATTATCCTGCTCCTATCACGCCCCTTGCATTGATCTGGTCAGCCTAGTTGTCCTTTTGTTCTGGCTGCCTGGACATCCTGACACCTGATATCATAACCCCTCTAAAACTCCCCTACCTCCAGAGGTCATCCCAAGATTGTGTGAGCGCAGATATTCACAATTGCCCCTGGTGTAGTGTGTGTCTGTAGTCTTGTTTATTGTGAAATGGCCTTCCCAACTCCTTAGGTCGACTCCTCCTTAATATAAATTCCTGCTGCAGCATGCAATCACAGCCACTGGGAAGACAGAGACGGTTGGGCAGGCTCTGGTTATACCCATGGAATACATTTTATTCTGGTCTTGGAGAATTGACATAATTCGTATTATGTTTATTTTTTATTTTGAATGATCCTTTGGTTCAATACTTCAATACAAAACTTGCATAACCCGTTATCAAGTTTATATGCCTTACCCAGATCCAATAGCACTTAAGTATTGATAGGTGAATGTTATTTAAACATGCAACAAGTCGTTTAAAAAACTTCCTGACTATTTGCTGTATTGTCATGTAACAATTTATCCTATCACCAAAGTGAATGTTTAATGCCAGGATGCTTAATGTGCATATGCATGGTTGGCATTTGAAAGTTTCAACTTCCCAGGCACCAGGGTTTGTTTAATTCAGAGAGTGAAACGCATGGGACATTCTTGTCTCTTTGCCCTGCATTTGCCCTCGGGTGGGCAGCGAGTTGATGGTGTTTTGCCATGGGTCCTCCCTTGCTCTCTCGGAAATCCCCTAGGTCACTCCTTGCATTATCTTCCAGTTTTACCTGCTTATCCCAGACCGTATGGCATAATAGTAATTGTTAATGCAAATATACAAAAAAATGTAACATTAAACCTTTTGTCCTGAGCTATATCATCATATAACAGTACATTCTATCAGGTTAACGTTTCACACCACGATGTTTGAAAATATTCCTAATGGTGGTGGGTCAATCCAAGCCGAGGCTTGTGGATAATAATTACCTTCCAGAGGGCGAGGCAGCAGTGGGTGCTCATTTAGCCTCTATTACTGGGATTTAGAAAACTCTTAATCCAGACATATGGCAAAACCCTATTATGTTAAAAATAAGCAATATCACTATTAATTTTTGGAAAAGGCATATATATCAGAGGTGGGACAAAGTCATTGTTATGCAAGTCCAAGTCGAGTCTGAAGTCATCAAATTCATGACTCGAGTCTGACTCGAGTCCAAGTCACATGACTCGAGTCCACACCTCAGAGGTGGGACAAAGTCATTGTTATGCAAGTCCAAGTCGAGTCTGAAGTCATCAAATTCATGACTCGAGTCTGACTCGAGTCCAAGTCACATGACTCGAGTCCACACCTCTGATATATATATACAACACAGATGGGACACAGAGGACTTTCTATAGAGATACACAGACTAGAGACACCCAGTCTAGAAACACAGATTCATGTACGGGAGTATACAGACGGGACATAGACGGCATTATACAAGCGGTGAGTGAGAGAGAGACATACCGTAGGCGCGTGTGTGTGATTGTGTGTGTGAGTGTGTGAGTGAGTGTGTGAGTGAGTGTGTGAGTTAGGGAGTATGTGGAACATCTTCGCCGGTTAGAAACATTTAGGCTGGCCTGCCTACGATCCATCCTGGGTTTAACAAGGCTGGATTGTGTGAGGAGCTCACAAATCGTTGAAAGATCTGAGCAAAGTCCCATCGGTGAGCTCCTCCGGCAGGCTAGGCTGCGTTGGCTGGGTCATATAGCCTGCATGCCCAGCCACCGCATGCCTAAACAGCTTTTGTTCGGCCGGATCGAGGGGGCAAAACGGGAGCGGCACGGGCTAGAGAGGCGATGGAGTGATGTGGTACAGGAGGACGTGGAGCTGAGTGGACTTGCCGATGACTGGTACCAGCTGTTTCAAGATCGGCCTCTGTGGAGGAGGCTCGTGAAGGACACTAATGGGCAGTTGGAGGCAGTCGCCCTTCAACAACAACGGAGGGCGGAGAAGCGACGCTCACACCAACGAGCGGAGCGCCGGGTGGCTAAAGCACAGCAAGTTGGCACAGTAGGGGGCACAGGTGATGCATCAGCCAGTCATCTCGGTCATCTCAGTCAGTCGACCCGTGGCACCTAGGTCTGCCCCGTGACCTCCTGCCAGCGGGCGTTCGACACTTCATGCGGCCTCAAGGTGCACATGGCCTGGAACAAGCGTCGTGGTGACGTCACCGCCACTTAGTGGCGAATGGCGGTTGTTGTGTGTGTGAGTGAGTGTGTTAGTGAGTGTAACTGGATGCGTAGCCGGGTGTGGGCTGCTTGGCACCCGAGAGGTACTGTGCTGTCAACTAACCGGCTCTCAGGGGACGCTGCGAGGATTTGTTGGCTGCAAAACCCGCGCCGGATCGCGCTGCCTGCCTGGCCTGGAGCCACTGCCCCTCACTGAGCACTGAGCCGTCGCTGCTACTGCACCGAGGAATGATACGTGGAATGATACGTGGACATCGTGGGAACCGCCTTCGCTCGCATTCATGACCTTGTAGAAGGAAGCTTTAAAACGCAGTGCCGCATTGTTTTCCGTTAGTAAGCAAAGTGGATGAGTCCTGGCCGTGTTCAGTCTCATCTAGGTCATGTTTTACCACGAGTCCGACTCGGGTGTAGAGTCCTAGATATTCGTTATCTGCTGTGAACAACCCGCAGAGCCCAAGAGAGCGTCTCCGGGTTCAAGCAAGTGTTTAGAGTGCAGTATTTATATTATTTGGCTGCTATGCATTTCCAATATGATGAGCCACTTTTTTGAGCTATAATTTTTGATGAGCAGGTCGCTTCTGAAAAATAAGCTAAAAGCTCATTGGGTTTTATCTGGTAAAATAAAAATTGTTGAGTTAAATTTGTATTTTTTTTTTACAATGGTGAACGCATGCGTATTGAGTAGCCATGCGTGTGAATGTGAAACAACAACGCAGCTGAAGTAAGCGGTGGGTGCCGCTGTGAATGGTCGGCACGGGGATCTGCAGTCTCGGACAAGATGAGAGTGAGAGACGGGGACATCGCCAGCAGTGGGTGATGGAGGCAGGTAGAGTTGGTGATAGATTCACACTGCTAGCAAATGGCTCAAGACTCCATGATGGGTCACAAAAGTCTGCAGACAAATTTCGTCCAGGATGCTACAATGGCATTCAAGCAACGCGTCACGTGGTGTAATTACACTGAGATGGAGTTACAGGACATCATGAGATATCTACAACTATACCAACTATTTTTTTTTATTTTACCAGGTAAGGCTCACTGAGCAACGCGGCTCATTTTCAGAAACTACCTGGCCACAAATGATGGCTAATCACGTGGCAATGTGTAGTGAGTTCTTTATGGAGACGGAGACGTTGTCCTAGAGGCAACACGGTATGCTTATTTATAACTAACAGCAACTCCTTTAACACCCCCTATCTAGGGAGGTATGGCCTCCGGGCTATCATGACCTAAACACTGCCCCTGTTCACTCCCAGCCCATCGGCTATCCGTGTCCTAGGGGAGGCTATCTGACCCGACCCAGCCAAGGTACGGGACCGACCACTAGTCCAAGCTCGACCAGGCCCTTACAAGGGCAGCGGGCTCGAAGTCCCAGGGTCCTAGTCTAGCTGGTCTTCAGTCTTCATAGCACTGCCTCGAGCTGTGCTCTGGGCACCCCTTTTATACACCTCCAGGGGACCCCCCGCGCCTGGTACCGCCCCCTTTCTGGAACCTTCCAGAAGATCCTGGAAGGCCCCCTCCCAACCCCCCACCTGGGATAGGGGAGGGGAGCCCAGCCTTTCTTGGGTCCAGCTCCCTCTCTATCCCCTTTGTGCTCGCTGGCACACCCTACCGACCTCTGGCTGCAACAGCAGGTAAGTGTATACGGCGAACGGCAGGTAAGTGGATATGGGCAGTGTGTGCATACGCGATCCGACGTTACACGTCCGTACGCGATCTGACGCTACAAATGTATTGCAGCCAACTTCTTTGAACGCATGATGTTGATTGTAAATGCAGAGGGGAAAAAACCGGAGGACCCGGATAAAAATTCAGACGACCATGGAGAGAGACAGAGAGAGACGCAAACTTTAAATATAAAGCAGGCGTCAGGGTCGGGATCAAACCCACGACCTCCTGTATACCAGGCTAGGGAGATAACATCTTGCCACCAACTTGCTGTAGAAGGATGAGTTTATCTCTCGCAACTCATTGCACGAATGAGCAACTGCAGCTGAACCTCACCGATTTGTATCAACAACAGCACTCATTTCTTTAAATGTCAAGGTGTGTACAATAGCCGTTCAATCTTGATTTGAAGCTTTTGTGACTGCAGGAATCCATACTCTTTGGTTCTTTCGGTAAAGTCACGTAGGTAGAAAAAATAAAATAAAAAAATATATATCACGGCGTTTCGATCGCAACACAAGCGGTTGTCCTCAGCGGAAAAAAATATAATCCAGCAGTGGAACTGCTGAACCAGCGAGAGATCCTTTACAACAAGAGGTTATTTTATTATATGTGTTCTTTTTTTCTACCTACGTGATTTTACCGAAAGAACCAAAGAGTTACAGTGGTCGTGTTCAACTTGAGGCTGCTGTTTGCGCACCTAGGGGCACGGGTTCACATTACAGGGAGTGTCTCGTGATGTCAGTGACGACAATAAAAATATTCTACTTCCTTCTTCACCTTCGCTGTAAGATAGAGGTACTGGTCCAGGGCTTCTCTGTGCCACACAGCGAGCGATCCCAGCGAAGCCATGGGTCATGGCGAGCGCGACTCCCAGTGAGAGTGTGGATAGTGAGCTGCGCTGCTCCATCTGCCTGGGCACGTTCGTCTGCCCCTCCACGCTGAACTGCGGACACTCGTTCTGCCTCCGGTGCCTGGAGGCCGCCTGGGAGACGACAAGAAGGTTCAGCTGCCCGCAGTGCCGAGCGACCTTCCCTTTGCGACCCCAGCTGAGGAGGAACGTGGCCCTCGCCAACCTGGCAGAGCAGCTCAGAGTTGGAGACGGGATGGCCGCGGCCGTCGTGTGTGACCACTGCAGTGGTGGCCAAACTCTTGCAGTGAAGACCTGCCTGAGATGTGAGATGTCCTACTGTGCGAGGCACGCGAGGCCTCACTTGGAGAATCCCAGGTTGAGTGACCACGTCCTGGTGGCTCCCATCGCGAACCTGGAGGGGCGACGGTGCCGGCAGCACAGACACGAGCAGATCAAGTTCTACTGTGAGCAAGATGAGAGCCTGGTCTGCACAGTCTGCACCATCGCTGGGGAACATAGAGGGCATGAGGTTATTCCGGTGGAAAATGCACAACAGACAAAACAGGTGAGATATAAATCGCTGCTGTAATCCAATATCTCTCAGTGTGACTGCAGCATTCTGTGTGTGTGTTTTGTTCAGATCGAGAGACTGTATTTTGTCATTTAGATTTGCATATTATTAGGTAACTCCTATTGTGCCAGCATTGTGACAGTCAATATAAATTACTTTGGGCAACGTGGATTGAAAAATTGGCACACGATAGACAGCAGAGACACGGAAGATGTCAATGTTGTTTTTAATGGATAGCAAAGCAGGGTGTTCCATGTTTTAGTTAGAAGACCAAGCATTTGTGACATGGCTGGCAAAGATGTAAAATACACTTCACATCATAAGATTCGTACTTGTGAGTAGCAATAATGGGTGGAGAGAAATGTGGACTAACACGAGATACTTCAAGCGTTAGACGGTTCAAAAGTGCACTGACCGTGAACTTAAAAAGAGGCAAATCAGAAGCCATTCCAGTGGTAGAGACAGGTCATCAGACACGGTTTGTTTGTCCATAGGGCAGATTTAGATTTGATTTTGTTGCAATGTTTGGTGTCTAAAATGCCACCCTGCCTCTAACATAGACGCCATGTATTTACATTGGATTGTGGTTGAGCGCTGCTACGGTGAAGCTTGGCCAACCACCAGAGCGTTTAGAGTGCGGGACTAAGGACACACACCCAGAACTGGGTGGGACGTGGCGTGGGCAGAGTTTCACGTTCACAGCGCTTAATCCTGCCTGTGTCAGGCCCTGCCAGAGGCAATCAAATGGGGGACAGCTTAAATCAAAAATCCCAATGAATGATATTTAAGTCAATCATTATCATCATGACTATGTTTGTTGTTGTCGTTGTTCCTGCAGGAAATAGTCCATGCATCGTTTAATCATTATTATAGTGTCAATGATTACACTGGTCAACACACTTTTTCTGGCATAAGGTATTCCAACGGTTTTGAGGTAATGTTGGGGTGCTGATTCCAAATCTGGCATCAGTTTTTGTCTATCCCATCAAGTTTTTGAGATATCAAATATTGCATTTTCAATAAAAACTGCAGAAGAAAAATATTAAATAAATGTGGATATCTTCATAAAATGATTTTATAAACACACTATCCTAAAAATACAGCACCATATTTTAACACTAAAGCAGTCACTGACTCGCAACAACTTGCAATCCATAAGTGACAGAGTTAATTTCAGGTAAAATCAATGAAAATGGGGTATGCTGATAGCATAAAATGAGATGTGATAGAGCAAATCTGAGATCAGATTTGGAATCAGCACCCTGAAATTAGTCTAAAACAGCTGCAAAAGTCCAGGCCAAAAAAAAATGTTTTTTTTTTGTTGACCAGTCTTTACCGAAAGACCCAACAAAATGCATTTAAACTGTGTAAGAGCGTGTGGTTCATCATGCATTGGGGAGCTGCGGTGTAGTGGTTAGCGTGCTGTGCACCGAAACCTGGTCACATGGCTCTCCCCTACCCTGAGTCCGCCCAACTTGTCCCAACACACCCGAGCAGCAACAATATCAGCACCAGAGCTGTCCGTACCCCAAATACCGCTCTGGTTTCCTGTAAAATTTCGGATTCAAGTTTGGGTGTTTACCGCACTGTCACGCAAAGTGTGTGCTGTAGATATATCGGGGGGTTATGGTTATCGGTTCCGTGAGATCCCATTGTTGGGAAAAACTGGAGAAAACACGAGCGTGTGTGAGTGAGAACTCCTAATACACCTCGCTGTGATCCAGCCACCTACCTCAGACACGGATGTTGTGCTGCCTCGTAATGGCCACTTCATAACCTGGGAGATTGGACGTTTCAAAGAGTGATGATTATCACTGGGCGATCCACGAAACCTGCCTGCAAGGCTCTGGGTTAAAGACATGGGCCAGATGATTATTATGATGAGAGTACCAAACATCGCGTATTTGTCTACCCCATGTATAGGAGGCGTTCAGACTCGTGAAGACGGGGAGAGAGGAGAAGAAGACTACGGCAGAATCATGGACACAGCAGCTCAAGGGTGCCTACAAACACGTGCAGGTACAGAGAGACACATAGACAAGTGCAGATACAGAGAGACGCACAGACACGTGCAGATATAGACAAATACGCAAACAATATGGGTACTTAGACTTTGGCATAAGTGTGCCCATGAATATCCTCACTAAATCTCATCCTTTCATGCATATCATTACTCGACATTCTCAAAATTAAGTCACCTGCCTTTTGTACGAAGTTATGAGACGTGGCCATATCGAAGTCCTTTATGAAGTCACATCGCACTGTGTTGTGTTTCGTTACAATAGTACGTCATCGTATCTCTGCGTAGGAGTCTCTGCGTGGGACCAAGGCGCGGATCAGCCGAGAGTTTGAGCGCCGGAGGGAGCAGCTGAGGGAGGAGGAGAAGGAGGCGCTGGAGCGCGTGGACGAGGAGGGCCGTTCAGTGCTGTCACGCATCCAGGCGGACATCGCTCGCTACGAGAGCAGAGCACGCGGCCTGGAGCAGGAGATCAACCAGCTGCTCGCCGCACTCGCCGTGCAGGACCCGCTCTCCTTCCTGCAGGTGGAACTACCTCCATTCACTCGCCGCGGTGACTAGGAGATGTCAAATACCTCGCCTGGTATGCAGGAGGTCGTGGGTTCGATACCAACCCTGACGCATGTATATTTGGAGTTTGCATCTCTCTCTCTCCCTAGTCGTGTGGATTTTTCTCCGGTTTTCTGGGTATTCCCTCCACATTTAGAAACATACATTAGGAGTATTTGGCTGCTATACATTTTCATGCAATAAGCCACTTTGTTGAGCTTTCATTTCTGGCCAGGTTGCTCCTGAAAAAGAGCTATATAGCTCAGTGGGACATTCCACCTGGTAAAATAAAAAATAATTCATTCTCATAGCCTTGGTTTTTCAGAAGAGGATTTATCTACAATCAGCAGAGGCACACCCCCCTGTGAAACGTTGACATTGTTTGCAAACTTTTTTAACTTTTTTTCGATCTGGGAGGAAGCGGCGGTGTCCAGAAATATACGCTCGTTTGCTTCCATGTGACATTCAGACCTGGACTTGTCCAGCACAGCATCGCCATTTACCTGGCCTGGTATGCAGGAGATCGTGGATTTGACCTCGACCCTGACGATGCCTGCTGTAAATTTAGGGTTTGCGTTTTTCTCTCTCTCTCCCCATGGTCGCGTATATTTTTCTCTGGGTCATCTGAATTTTCTTTCCACATTTATAATCAACATCACACATTCAGAGAATTAGGCTGCCACTATACATTTCCACGTGATAAGCCACGAAGTTGAGCTGTCATTTGTGATAGCCAGGTTGCTTCTGAAAAAGAGTGACATAGCTTAGTGGGCCTTACCTGGTAAAATGTTAAAAAGTTAAGTTTATTCAGAGTTCAATACATGAGTTGTTGCGCGTTATTAAACCATTCATGTAGGTGCTGGACTAGACCAGTAAAGAGTGGTTTTGTAATTTTTAGACGTCTACCCGTGTCCAGTTAAATGAACCCTGTTTTTCACCATTATCAGTGTGCAGGTATAGTCTAATTCCCTGATGTCGCACTCCACTGTAAATAGCAGGCGACTGTGTGGAGGTGGGGCATCTTTTTATGATGTCATTGTTAATGTGAAATGCGGATTTGTGTTTTTCAGGATCCCCTGCATGAGAGTCTCAGGTCAGTACCAACCCAGACCCAAACGCGAGCTCTGTCTGCCACCTGGTGGACAAATCAGAAAACGGTCGTGATTTGATTCCTAATAAACCCAATTGTATGCAGTTGTAACCCAATATGGTCAATTGTATCCCGTACGGGCAGTCCTCGGGTTATAAAATGTGTTACGGTTCAACAAAGAGGGAAGCATTGTTAAACTCATAATAAAGAAGAAATGTTGTACATTTGCATCTAACAATGTAAAAAAATTACTGCATAGTAAATTAAACATAAAATAAAATAACATAATTATAAAACAAAATGTATGTTCACTTACATTGATGCTAGCGTGTAGTCGGAAGGGGGGCAATGATACACCACAACAAACGGGGCACGCATTCACACACATAGACAAAGACACCCCAACGACAACAATCCCCCGTGTAACCTTAATAGGCTGTTTGGGGTAAGGAGTCTCAGCGAGCAGTGCCTAAAATGGCCGCCACTGTGGCACACGAGGGGGTGGGTGGCCAGCGTCACGGCCCGCTGCTTTTGTCGCCCCGGTGGCGATGTTTACGCACCACACCAGGCGCTGGTGTTGGTCGTGAGCAAGAGCCCAACTCGGGACGCCGCTTTCATAGTGCAGTGCACTCACCGCTACACTACCGCTCCTCACACCAATACCAATACCCGCCATTCACCACTAAGTGGCGGTGACGTCATCATGGCGCCTGTGCCAGGCCAGGTGCACTCTGAGGCCACGTTAAATGTGGAAGGCTTGCTGACAGGAGGTCTTGGGACAGACCCAGGTGCCATGGGTTGGCTGACAGAGATGACTGGTAGATACACCAGCTGTACCCCCCACACTTTCACGCACACAATGTTCGTGCACACGCAAACACTCCCAGCACGAAGCCGACTCATTACATCTGGCGGAGGATCGCTCCTTTTAACAAAATAGTTCTGCGGCTCAGTTTGCAACTGCGAGTTTGCATTTTAAGTCAAAGTTATTTTTTTTTATTTCATGGGAGCTGGTTTGTAAGTACGGGTGTTCACAAGTCGAGGGTTGCCTGTATTGTCCATTTGTAGAGTGACATGAACCCTCATTAGACTGTGTTTCTCGTGCTTTGTGTTTAGAAAGACATGGAGCCTCATTAGACTCTGTGTGTATCATGGTGTGTGTGTAAGAGACATGGACCCTCATTAGACTATTTGTGTCTCATGCTGTGTGTGTAAAGAGACATGGACCCTCATTAGACTCTGTGTGTCTCATGCTGTGTGTTTAGAGAGACATGGACCCTCATTAGACTATGTGTGTGTCCTGTGCTGTGAGTGCAGGAACTCCGTCTCCCAGGAGACTCAGGATGACCCAGCCTCCGTCTCCAACGGTCTGAACCTCGCACAAGTCATCTCAGTGGGCGGCGTCCAAACTAAACTTCTGCCTTTTCTCGGTACGTCCCTCTGCCACGACGATCTTTGTTAGACTCCATTACAGATTCCAGATTGCCTATAAATCCTACCCATTTGGAGGGCGTCCTTTATTTTACCCAGGCTTGAGTGCATTAATGTAGCGTGACCACTTGGCAAGGGAGACCTGCGTACATTCAGGTCATGAAACGGGCACCGAGGTGCTTGGTGAATGATCGCTAACAACTCGAAGGGTCTCACTCATCAAGAGTTGCAAAAAACAACAGCAACGTGACAGTGCGTTTCTTGAGAGCAAAAGGGCGACTTTGTAAGCTACGGACGAAGCAGGTTTCAGTCCTATTAGGCTCATTTAGACGCTGACAATCACGCATGGGTGCAGTGGGTTCACGGTTGGTTGAGGAAAGTGGCTGCTAGGTGGGAATTAAGTAACTTATTGTACTTAGGTCGCTCACTGCGGGCAAATTGGGATTAAACTGTTAACATAAAACGAAGTGCAGGATGGAGACTGCAGCTGTTTGATCATCGCGATGGCAGCCTTCACAACCAGGAATTTAAAAGTACAATGGAATGTAAATGATTGACTGGTCTCAGAGTTTCAGTGTAAGATCCTCATTTACAGCCCTTTGTCAATCCACAGCTGGATGAAGGCCTCCCATAGTGTGTCGAATATGGGGGTTGCCTGACCATACTTCACCACGATGGCCACTGTGTGTCTGTGTTTTTGCGAATGGGTAGGACAAGGACCAGTTGTGATGTCGCTCGGCCCCGTTGTTAGCCACAGCCGGTAATCAAACCGACGTCGATGGGTTCACAGCAACACGAATGAACAACAACAACTGCTGGTGCACCCACTGCTCCAGCACGAGATCACTCTCACTCAAGTTACAGCGGAGTGGATCACTGCAGCGAGATTGTCCACACGTTGCCATCACCGTGCATCGCTACACGAGGTTCAGAGAGACGGACTAAGGCAGCTTAGGGATTATCAGGGTGCAATCACAACATACGATGCAGTCGCGGTCAAAATACTTCCCAGACTAAACACTCACTCATGCTCTAGCTACCTCACTCACCCACTCACTCACCTACTCACTCACCCACTCATTCACCCACTCACTCACCTACGCACACCCTCACTCACCCACTCATTCACATACCTAAACCCCCACTCATTCACCCACTACCCACTAGTTGATATTTTTAACAGTTAGTATACACACTAGGGGAGCGGTGGGACAGCTGCTGATGCGCTGCACAACGTGGAGTCGATGCCTGGCTAAGCAGCGTTGAACTTGGCTAGTGCTGGGATGGGTGACCACCGTGCATAGCAGGTGCTATAGGCTGCGGGGCTCTCTGACCTACCTATTTAACCTATTTTTTTTGACCAGGTGCAGGGCCCCACTGAGCTAAGTAGCTCTTGTTCAGAAGCGAGCTGGCTGTCACAAATGATAGCTCAACAAAATGGATGACATCATCATCGTCATCACATAAAATTCATACCAGCTGCTAAATATACATAGAGACCCAAATAGATACATAGAGACCCATATAGATACTCGACCCATAGTCACACATAGAGAACACTAAAGATACCAAGGGACACATAGAGATACATAGGGATACAGAGATACAACAGGAACACATAGAGATACATAGAGACCCATAGAGATACATAGATACCTCTTAAATATACATATCGACACAGACATACATACATCGAGACTCAGAGATACCTCGAGACCCATAGAGATACATAAGAACACAGAGATATAGAAAGACTCATACATATACTAGACCCATAGTCACACATAGAGAACAATAAAGATACAAAGGGACTAATAGAGATACATAGAGACCCATAGACTGAACTCATTTTATTTAACAGATATGGCCCCACTGAGCTGTGTAGCTCTTGTACAGAAGCGACCTGGCCACCACAAATGACAGCTCAACCAAGTGGCTGATTTCGTCACCGTGTGGACATTTATAGAAGCAGCCAAATACTCGATGCTTGTCGAGGGAAAAACCGGAGGACCCGGTAGAGGTTTGGGCATAAGCATTTATTTAATTAAATTCAAACTTAAAACTGTTGTGATGGGGTGGGCATCAGAGGGCAGCGCAGCATGAACCATTGTTGTACTGTACCTCTACACTATGATTACGATCCCCACCATCGCCAACGCGCACCGACGAGAGCAGTGAAGTATGGTCAAATAACCCCTCCTCACAGGACGCGTAGGGCGTGGGGAGACGCTCATCCAGCAGCGTAGTGACACAATGTCTATTCGTGGATGTGAGAGTGTGCGAGACTGTGACACACAATGTCTGTGTGTGGATGTGAGGGTGTGAGAGGTTGTGAAACACTGTCTGTGCGTGGATGTGAGAGTGTGCGAGGCTGTGACACACAATGTCTGTGCGTGGGTGTGAGAGTGTGCGAGGCTGTGGTGGCTGTGGTACATGCGTCGTGTTTGTAGAGAGACGCTGTGAGAGTGGCATTAACATCGTGGCGCTGGCATCATCACAACTGTTCACTACCACTGCACACACACCCATGGTCATATTAGTGGAGCACTATTATTATTAATTATTCACTAATTATTCACAAGTGATTAGCAGTACGTGTACACTAATACTAATGAATATTAGTATGTGTACACTAATACTAACGAATATTAGTTTGTGTACACTAATACTAACGAATATTAGTTTGTGTACACTAATACTAATGAATATTAGTTTGTGTACACTAATACTAATGAATATTAGTATGTGTACACTAATACTAATGAATATTAGTATGTGTACATTAATACTAACGAATATTAGTATGTGTACACTAATACTAACGAATATTAGCATGTGTACACTAATAGTAATGAATACTAGTCCTGTATGCAATTGTCATACGCGTGATGATCACAGTGTAACGTATCAACGTATCACGTAGTACGGTATGACCACAACAACACAACAGACAACACAACACCAGCGCGTGTATGTGTGTGTGTACACGCCAAGTCCGGCAAAATAACCCCCTACCTCCTCGCGGTGCCGGACGGGCAACGCTGTCGTGGACAGTGCTGTGGGGGGGAGGGCCAATTCCGATTGGCCTCTCCCCTCATGGCGTCTGTTACCACAACAGTGGCTAAATGGGGGCTCTGGATGGGTGCGAGGGGCTGGTAACCCCTCCACCTTCAATAAATTACCACTAAACCACGACTGAAATATCTAACTAATAAGCTTGTGCCAGAGGCCCCAGGGGGACAGGCGTCTATGACGTCTCCTGGCTAAACCCCATTTGGCGGTACCAGGAGATTTAATCTTTACCATCGGCGCTCCTCCAGAAATAACGAAAAGCCACTACGGATGGCCACGTGGAATGTTCGAACGCTCACTGCGGAGGAGAGGCTGCCACTCCTCTGTCGGGAGCTGGACCAGTACCGCCTGGATCTCTGTGGCATTTAGGAGGTCCGGTGGACGGGCTCTGGCTCCTGCCACCATGAGGGGTGGACAGTCTGCTACTCGGGACAGGAGACTGCCAAGCAACAGGGTGTGGCTCTTCTGAACAAAATAATGAAGGGGGCATGGGAGCGTCGCAGTGTGGTGTGGGAAGCTATAAGCCCCAGGCTACTTTGGGCTCACCGTCCCATCAACCCGAGGTGAGGAGTGGTGGTCGTGGTTACTTATGCCCCCACTGAAGACGAACATCCTTGGAGGGATGCAGGCAAGGCCGATGAGTCAGATGCATTGTATGCCCTCCTGTCACAGGTGCTGGCTAAAGTGGCCCCTCGAGATAGATTCATCTTATTGGGTGACTTAAATGCCCGAGTTGGTCATGATGCTGGTACCAGGTCTGGAGTGATTAGAAGGCATGGGCCAGATCAGCCCAATAACAACGATAGGAGGCTGCTAGATTTTTATGCAGCCCACGGGCTTGTAATTACCAACACACTGTTCTGGCATCGGCGCATCCACACAACATCATGGATGCATGCCCGGTCCAAGCAAGAACATCTGCTGAACTACATAGTGACGGACCAGCGGATGTGAGCCCATGTCCTTGACACCAGGACCTACCGTGGAGCTGATCTGCCCTCTGACCATCGACTAGTCATCTGTAAGATGCGCCTGCCATTCTTCCACTCTGGTGGTGGGTGTACACCCAGGACCCAATTCCAACCTAAGGTGGCCTGGTCTCAATTATCTGATGAAAGTTGCAAGCAAGAATTTCATCATTGCTTGCGGCTGGGGTTGGCATCGTCCCCCACTCCTCCTGATGTCGAGGGTAAATGGGCCAGGTTTAGGACTGAGACTCATGCAGCTGCAATGGCTGCTTTGGGTACGCGGTTCAGACCTCTCCAAAGACCCTGGCTGACAGAGGAGGTGTTCATGATGGTTGAGAAAAAGCGAAAGGCCCACGCTTATCGTCTACAGCATCCCACGTCAGAGAATGAGGAGGCTTACCGCAGCCTTCACTCGGAGGTTCGGAGAGCCGTGAGGCGCTGCAAGGATGGGTGGTGGTCGCAGGTTGCTGAGGAGGTGGAGTCTGCCTCAGTGGCCCGCGATCACAAATCCCTATTTAACTACATCAAACAAGTAACCTGCAGCACCACACCTATCACCATCATTAGGGTAAAAAACGGTGATCCAATCTCTGACCTCCAGGAACAGGTTTGCAGATTTTCTGAGCATTTCTGTGAGGTCCTGGGGGAGGGGAAATTGCTCAGCCATTAAAACATCGTGGCACAAAGTGGGGATGACCCTGCTGAGGCTGCGGTGACTCAAAAATTGGAAGAAGTCACCCCCTGTGAGTGGCTGGCTGAGGTGCCATCTGTTGAGGAAGTACTGAAGGCGATCCAGAGTCTGAGACCAGGAAAGGCACCGTCCAGAGATGATCTCCCAAGTGACATGCTGAGGGAGGGTGGCGTTTGTGCACAGATTGTCCTACATGACATCATAATAGCAGCCTGGACCACTGGACGGGTTCCGCAGGATTGGTAGGATGCCCTGGTGGTCCCCATCTCTAAGAAGGGGGACCGCACAGACTGTAACAACTATATTGGCATCTCACTCCTCAGTGTGCCGGGAAAGGTGCTGGCAAGGATTATTCAACATCGCCTTGCAAGGCACACTGAGGAGAGGCTTACGGAGCCCCAATGCGGTTTCAGGAAAGGGCGATCCTGTGCAGATGCCATATTTTCTGTCCGTCTGCTACAGCAGAGGTGTAGGGAATTCCAACAAGACCTACATCTCTGCTTTATTGACCTGGTCAAGGCCTATGATACCATCAGTAGGCCTGGACACTGGGTTGTTCTTCGTGCTTTTGGAGTCCCTGACCCTCTGCTTACGATTGTTAAGGACCTTCATGATGGTGAGCGGGCCCGGGTAAAACTACATGGCTGGGAGTAGGTGCAATTCCCTGTACACCTTGGGGTGTGACAGAGATGTCCTCTGGCTCCCACATTATGTAACATCTATTTTGACCACGCAGTTCGTGAAGCCTTCAATAGCTGTCCTGGGGGAATTTCCATTTGGTACAGATATAATGGGAGGCTGATCGGTGCCCGGGTGCGTTCAAGGGATGGCTGCCTATTGGTCAACCACGTTATGTATGCTGATGATTTGGTAATTGCTGCTCATTCAGAGGAGGAGTTGGAAACACTGCTGCTGAAACTGGAGCGTGCCACTAAGAGGTGGGGCCTTACCATCAGTCCCACCAAAATTAAGCACCTGCATGGGTATTTTGTACCATCGGACACTCCACCCCCACAACTCCCAATCGGTGATGGGGCAGTTGTGGAGAGAGTGGAGAGTTTCCCATACCTGGGCAGTGTACTCATGACCGGCTCCGGTTTAACAGCAGAGGTCTCACTCTGAATCAGTCGAGCGGCAATATGTTTTCATCGGTTGCGTTACACTGTGTGGAAGCTACCTGTTCTGTCGCTCTGCACGAAGCTTCAGGTCTTCTCGGCGACGGTCATTCCATCCCTTCTCTACGTTTGCGAAACGTGGACCCCCCTAATGGAGCATCTTCGCCGGTTAGAAACATTTAGGCTGTCCTGCCTACCATCCATCCTGGGTTTACCCAGGTAGGATTGTGTGAGGAGCTCACAAATCCTTGAAAGATCTGGGCAAATTCCCATCGGTGATCTCCTCAAGCAGGCAAGGCTGCGTTGGCTGGGTCATGTAGCCCACATGCCCAGCCACCGCATGCCTAAACAACTTTTATATGGCTGGATCAAGGGGGCTAAACTGGCGCGGCACGGGATAGAGAAGAGATGGAGTGATGTGGTACAGGAGGACGTGGAGCTGAGTGGACTTGCTGATGACTGGTACCAGCGATGTCAAGATCGGCCTCTGTGGAGGAGGCTCGTGAAGGACGCTACAGGGCAGTTGGAGGCAGTCGCCCTCCAACAACAACGGAGGCCGGAGGAGCGACGCTCACAACAATGAGTGGAGCGCTGGGTGGCTAAAGCACAGCAAGTTGGCACAGTAGGGGGCACAGGTGTGGCATCAGCCAGTCATCTCAGTCATCTCAGTCAGTCGACCCATGGCACCTGGGTCTGCCCCGTGACCTCCTGCCAGCCGGCGTTCGACACTTCACGTGGCCTCAAGGTGCACATGGCCTGGCACAAGCGTCGTGATGACGTCACCGCCACTTAGTGGCGAATGGCGGTTGTTGTTGTTGTTGTACACGCTATGTGTGTGTGTACACGCCACGTGTGTGTGTACACGCCACAGATGGACGCTCACCGACTCTGGACACAAACTCAACCTACGACCGCCTCCAGATTTCCTCGGATCTCAGGACGGTGACGCTGAGTGGTGTCCTCCACGGTCGCCCCCATCACTCACACCACTTTGAGTGCTGGAACCAAGCCCTGTGCTCTCAGAGCTTCTCGTCGGGTCAGCACTACTGGGAGGTGGACGTGGGGAGCGCGTGGCGGTGTCGGGTTGGAGTCGCACACGGGACAATCCCACGGAGAGGGCGTGTTGCCGAGTGTGGCCTGGGGGGAAGTGACGTCTCCTGGTGTCTACAGAAAGATGGCGCCAGCTTCTCAGTGCTGCATGGCGGGATAGAGACCTCACTGTCGGTGCCGGAGCCTCCGCGGAGAGTCGGGGTCCATCTGGACTGGGACGCGGGGCTGCTGTCGTTTTACAGCGCCGACTCCATGGCGCAGTTGCACTCGTTTCATCAAAACTTCACTCAGCCCCTACACCCTGGGCTGGGGGTATGGGGAAAAGTTGGTGAGTCAGTGAGGATTGTGGATCTTAGTGGTGTGTCCTGAGAGAGGTGAACGTGAACAGCGCAGAGGGCAGACACCACGACACACGGCGCTCGCCACCCTCGTCACCGTCATGCGCAGTGCCACGCCCGTGACTGGCTGGAGGCTATCGGTGGCTAGGGGCTGCGTGGCTCTCCATCACAACGGGGGGTCTGAGCGTAAACAATCCTCACAACCTTCCTGGGGGGGGGGGTGGTGATAAAATAAGTTCCTCTGTGTGTGTGTGTGAAGGCAACGTGGATGTATTCACCCTGCCAGAGGAGCGTGACTGTCGTGTAGGGGTGCAGTGATTATCAATGGTGAACTGGGATGTGTTTATACACTGGTGGTGTCATGGGTTGTGGGAGAGATGCAACAATAATGATATTCATTTTAAAAAGTAAAAATGTACGCGTACGGCAGTGGCATTGTAACGCTTGTATCCTTGAATCTACAATAAAAATATAGAGGACAACAACAACAATGTAGTTGTGTACAGCGTCATTCGTGCTCATTGCATCCCGCAACGCTGTTCATTAATTAAACACGAGGAATAAATCCTCTACACAGCCACTGCCAAGAAAATTTAATCTACAAATTAATCAACAAATAAAGAGATGGCGTCAAACACAAAATGCGCCAACAATGTCCGAGCTGTTCAAGTTATCTTCAACTGCGTCATTGACGTGGTGACATCACCAAGCACACTGCCCCCACGCGGTGACGTCACCACGTCACCCCTCCCCCTCTCCCCCCCACGCCCGCCCCTCACCACTGCACCATCTGTGAACACAAAGAGCTTCACAGCTCATCGGATTCCTCTTGCACTACAAACACAGATTCTGACATTCTGGTTTGCCGCCAATAGGGGTGTTCCGCGTTCGCGAAAACAAAAACAAACAGAGGCAATCAGGGGCAACCTGCAGCGTCGCTGTGACCCAGCACTGTGGGAGGGGGGGGGGGTTGATCACAAGCACCATCACCACAATAACCACAACAACAAGTACAACAACCACCACAAACAGCACAACCACCACAATCACCACCACAACAACAATCACCACCACAACATCCATCACCACCAAAACCACCACCACAATCATCACCACAACAACCATCACCACAACCACAAACAACCATCACCACAACGACAAACAATCACCACCACAACAACAATCACCATCACCACCACAACCACCACCAAAACAACCACCACCACAACAGTCACCACCACAACAACCATCACCACCAACACAACAACAACAATCACCACCACAACAACCACCACCACTACAACCACCACCACAAACACCACCACAACCACCACAACAACCACCACAACAACAGTCACCTCCACAACAACCATCAACACAAACACAACAACAACAATGACCACCACAACAACCATCACCACCACAACCACCACCACAAACACCACCACCACAAACACCACCACAACCACAACCACCACCACAACCACCACCACAACCACCATCAGAACAACGACTACCACAACAACCATCACCACCAAAACCACCACCACAACTAGCAATAAGGTTACATGGGTACAAGTCTGACTCGACTTTTTCAATTACAAGTAACATTCACAATAAGGCAAATTGCAGGCTTCTTTGTTAACAATTTAACAGCATTATAAAGGCATTTACAGCATTATAACGTCCAGTCTAACATTATAACAGCATTCCCAGTATTTTAAGAACAAAACGAACTTACAGACATTGCTTCTTAAAGTCTCACAATGAACAGTTGCACCTGTCTTCACTGGGACGCTATTTGTGCCACCATTTTGTAATCTGTGTAATGCCTGATACCCTGCCGCATGGCTTAAAGGATGTCAAATCGTAATTTCCTGGTCACGTGACTGAACTCAACTTCCAAACAGGAAATTCTTGTGTACACCCACCCCCACACCTGCCATGAGGCAGAACAGTAGATGTTCAAGAGATAAGACACTCAACTTTGGAATGCTGCTGAGCCTTGTGACAGTGTTGAATCATACCACTTATAGTTGGTTTCCAAAGTACGCAGGTATTTTAACCATTAAGCTGCCTGTCAGTTCTCAACGTAAATCAAACCTCTTACGTAACTTATTTGACGACACTGCGTTGGCAGTTGTGCACAAGCAAAGATAACAAACTCTTAACACATTGGTTAATAACAGCCAAGTAATAGAAAACGTGTAACTGGTGACGTTTCAGGCAATGGCTCTTCTTGAGAGCATATTCATAATGGGTTTAAGAAGAATGGAAATTGTTATAAACGTCGTGTATTGTGTCGATGCATTTCCTTTAATGGTGGTATTATTGATGAATGTGTAGTGGCCTTGTATGACGACAGAGATTGTTGACTTGAGGCAACACGTATTTATTAATCTCAACTTGACAGCTCACACTTGAAGAGGTAACGTCCTCTTCACCCGTTCTATCGAGGGAAGTATTTCCCAAGCTAACACCCCAAGTTAACTTCTCTACTTCCCTCTATTCTACGATCCTCCTCTCAAGGAGACTAACTGACCTGGCCCAGCTTCGGCACAGGTCTCGACCACCAGCCACACGAATCCGGCCATGAAAAGGACATCGGCCTTCGCGGCTCTGGGGTCGCACCACTAACTTGCTCTGCCCGGCCCTTAGAAGGACAGCGGGTCAGAGGAGTCCCAGGGTCTAGCTAGCTGGACTTCAGTCTTCAGCTGGTTCTTCGTCTTGGCTTGATCGAACTGCCTCTCTGCTCTCAGGGTCCCGCCTTTTACACAATTCCCCACCGAGGGGCGGGTTTCTGTGGGATCACACACACCCCACAGCCCCCTCCCTCAGGAGGGCCCTGGTCATGGATAATACAACCACCCCGCACCGGTAAGTACTGTGATTCACCCGGGTTCGGTGTGCGCGCGTTCCAACATCACCACCACATCACCCCCCATGTTCAGCCCGCAGCCGTCCCGACTGCAATAACAACTATCACAATAAAAAACTTTAACATGAACCGGAATTCCGTGTGCCTCATTAACAAGAACAACAAAAATAACAACAATAATAACAACCGTAATAAATTACCCCAACCCACCTGTAAAAATTACCCCCCCTCCCCACCCGGTCCAGCGACGCAACTCGCCCGAATCGACGCCGATACATCAAGAAAAACGGTGCAACTTAGCACGAGTCCGAGTGGCTGGCCCGTCGTAAGGGGCAGGGCATGGTCGTCCGGCGGCTGAGGCAGGCAGTCCCTGAGGGCACGAAGTGGGCTGCCCGGTTTCACACTCTTTGGAAGCCGTCATTTCCAGGGCGTCTGAAAGCGGAACAGTCAGCGGCAGGTGGGGATCAGGCAATGGCACCACATTTCTCGAGTCGATGGACACATCACATGCTCGGCCCTTGGGACATGTAGGGGGGGTATGAGGCGCGACGAACGGTTTCAGCCTGGAGGGGTGAACATACCAACAACGTTTTCCCCACCCGATCCGGACACATTGTGTGAGTGCGACCTGTACAATTTCGAAAGGCCCTCTCCATGGCCTCAGCCGTTTTAGCGATGTCACCAATGGTACCTGTGGACTGTGTAACCAGGCCTTATCGCCTGGCTTCCACTCATGCGTGTGTGTCTGGTGCTTGCGCAGACGTTCATTCGCCTTCTGGTGAGAGTTCGAGTTCTGGGCTGCAGCCTCCCGTGCCTCGGCCAATTTCAAAACGTTGAATTTAACGTGATCAGCCAACTTAGATTTTGCACGGGGTGTGGGAACCCCCAACTGGGCATCCACGGGTGGATCAACGTCCTGCCCGTTCATAAGAAAGAAGGAGGAGAACCCAGTTGCCGCGTGGGGAGCCATCCTATAGGCGGCGAGAACTCCCGGAATTTGAAGATGCCAATCCACTTTTGATTCGCACACCTGATGACATAACATAGACGTGAGCGTCCTGTGGAGCCGCTCCACCATCCTGTCCGTCTGTGGGTGGTATGGGGAGGTACGCACCTTTTTAGTGCCCAGAAGGCCGCACACCTCATGCAGCAAGGAGCTCGAGAAATTCCCTTCCTGATCGGTCAGCAGCCACTCCGGAGCACCCTTGTCCAGGATATAGCCCTGGACGAAGGCCTCGATAACGGCTGTTGCCGACTGGTTGGCGAGTTGCCAGGCCATGGGTCATCGAGTGAAATATTCACCGCCAACCAGCAGGTACTTATTACCCCTAGGTGTCGCAGGAAACGGCCCCAAAATGTCGAGCGCAATGAGCTCGTTGATGCGTGAGACCCGAATAGATTGCAGCGGAGGACTGGATGCCTTGAAAGGCGGTTTCTGCTGGGCGCACTGAACACAACCTATAAGGACGTTTGACACATCCCTTGCCATGCCCGGCCAGAAGTAAACAAGCTGGAGCATGGCAAGGGTCTTGTGAGACCCCAAATGCAAAAGTCGCTCGTGCGCGGCCAGAATGACCCTACCGCGCAAGGCGAACGGCACAACGATTCTATAGCGAAGAGACCTACCGTCCCAATTCATGAGGAGACCCCCCCGCATTATCCAAGAATCGACCCCGACCACGCCTTCTGCGGATCTACCCGCCCTACGATGCAATGCAAGTAGGGACGTGTCCCCCATTTGGAACCGGCCCCAATCGGCAAGGGTCAAATTGAGTAACGAATTCCTGCCCTCTGGCGAGAGAGGGATTTCAGGGCCCGGCACATCAGCAGCGGCAGCTAGAATGGTGGAAGGGACAACACTCTGTGGTTTGCAGCGTCCTGACCCAAGACAGCATGCACATTCCGTACCGGGTGTCAATCGCGACAAAGCGTCCGCGTTTGTATGACGAACGCCCTTAGGGTAGGTGGTTGTGAATTGATAGTCCTGGAGGACCTCCAACCATCGAGACAACTGTCCCGATGGCTGGTCAACACGGAGTGCAAATTGTAGTGCCGCATGGTCTGTACGGACGGTGAAGTGCGGTCCATAGAGATACGGCCGATACTGTTGAACAAAAAAAACGATAGCCAGCAGCTCGCGGCAGGTGATGCAGTACCGCTGTTCTGCTGATGATAAAACCCTACTACCATAGGCGACAACGCGTTCGACTCCCCCAATCACCTGCGAGAGTACTCCGCCAATGCCGGTGTTACTGGCATCCGTGTCGAGCAGGAAAGGCTCAGTGAAGTCAGGGTAACTCAAAGGCGGAGCACTCACCGGGGCATCGCTAAGGGAGCGGAAAGCGGCCTCTTTCTCTTGACCCCAACAAAATGTTACACCCTTCGCCATCAAAGCGTGTAGGGGATTAGCTATGGTGGCAAAGTTTGCGACGAATCGCCGATAGTAGGAGGCAAACCCGATGAAGCTACGGACCTCACTGCCAGAAGTGGGCGTAGGC